GGGAATGATAGAAACATCAAAGATGACGGAGAATCATTGATTAGCTGCCTCCTGCACGCCCTCACAACCCAGGCGTGTGCCCTGACGGGGAATCAACCCTGACCTCCTGGTTCATAAGTCCCCGCTCAACCCCTGAGCCACACCTGACTATACATGCTTCTTGAGCCTGGGCTGGACCTGTGGGTATTAGAGGATATCACTCCTTTATGGCAAAAGGCGTTACTGCAAATGTATTTAAGATCTCTAATCGCAGGGAAGGTGGGTGGGAAGACATCAACCAAAGAACTTGTATGCAAATATGCATAACCCAAGGACACAGACAAAAGTGTGGTGAAGGCCTGGGGCGAGGGGCAGGAGGCGGGGCCAGGCTAGAAGGGGCCAATGGGGAATGAAAGGGGACAAATGTAATACTTTCAACAAGAAGTTTTTTTTTTTAAAAGATATCTAATCAGATTAATCAGAGGGAGATTATTGTGGTTGGGCCTCACCTAGTCTGGTGAGCTCTTAAAAGGGAATCTGGAGGTGGGAGATAAGGGAAGTCAGAGAGATGACCTCCTATTGGCCTTGAAGGCCTATATAAGTTCTATCCTATAAGGAAATGAATTTTGTCAACCACCTGAGATTCCAGAGGGTCCAGAGCCTTGTAGACTACATTGTGCTAATTACAAAATATTTATGAAAACCTTGTCTACTTAACAGGTTGCTATGCATGTGAAAAATAAACCTTTGCATTTCCTAATAATTAGACGCATTACTGAGTAAAATTAGCTGACGTTATCTAAATTAGTTTTTTGGTTTTTAGAAAAGATAAGTTTGTACTTAGGCTTTGCAAACCAGTCAACTCCCTCCATCCACTGCCAAAGAAACATTAATAGTCACTCAAATCAAAGTGAAAAAACATTCTTTCACTTTGTTAAGTACAGATTATCTTCAAAGCATTAACACCAGCCAGAATTTTATCATGTGAAGTAATGAGCTCTTTAGACTCATCCTTCAAGCTTTTGATTTGCCAGGGAGAAAAGTTAACACGTGGATGTATCCTGATATCCGAGATGTAAAGAACTGTAAAATAACTTAAAAGCACATAAGACAAATAAGGGGACACCATGTTATACCTTAATGGGCCATTTGATTACCATGTTCACTGAAAACTGACCATGGCAGCTGACAAATAGTATAGGGTACCTACCTCTTGAATTGGAATTGTAGGACATACGGTGGCACTTAGGGCATATACTTCAAGGCAAATGGCTGGGTTAAAAGATTACTTACTCTTGGGAAGTGGGATAAAAATGCCTACACTTGGGGCAGAGCACTTTTCAAATTCTATGCAGGACTTTGAATAGAAACTTGATGAATTCGAAAAGAATATATACCTATTCATCAAAGCCTACTGTTGCAGGCAAAGTCCATTAGCATTACTGGGATCAGATGCTTTTAGGATATCGTAGATTTTGTTTTAACAGGATTTCATTTTTTATGGCAGTACAAAAGAAATTTTACATCACACAAAACATTAACATAAAACATTTTTTAATACTGTGCCTTTCCGATGCACTCTGATGCTTAATGTTATTAGAAAATATTGACAGGTTTAGCATTTATTTCAGTTATTTGGGGATAAACCTAAATGATAGTATAACATGAAGTAATGTGAGTAAACTGAGATGGGGGAATGAATTGATGAATGAGCCTAGTTGACTACTCAGCATTTGAATCTCAACATTGCTTGGTTGTCTAAAAGACATGTGAATGTAATAACTCTTGTTAGGTGATGAAACTGTTTCCTTGTGGAAATGGATCTAAAAAGAAGTCAACTATTGGTACTAATAATGAAAGATATCCAAGTAAGTGATAGTTCTTAAAAGATAAGTTATATATAAACAGTAGAATGCAGTACCTAAGAACTATGATGTGAATAAACCTATTACATGCTCTTCACACTAGGTAAGTGGTCGGCAAGCTGCGGCTCGGCAAACCGCGGCTCGCGAGCCACATGCGGCTCTTTGGCCCCTTTAGTGTGGCTCTTCCACAAGATACCGGCTCATCCACAAAATACCGACTTCTGCACATGGGCCACGAAGTTTCAATCGCACTGTACGTGCGTGCCCACACGTGGTATTTTGTGGCAGAGCCACACTCAAGGGGCCAAAGAGCGCATGTGGCTCGCGAGCCACGGTTTGCCAATCACGGCACTAGGTAAACTACCGTAGGAGGAAAAAAATGAAAAATTGATTACTAATATCTAATGGAATAACTGAAAGCTACTTTCAGCATTTGAGCTAAGTGTGCATGTGTGTGTCCACATACACAGGACAAATTTCTCAGCATTCTTTGAACACAAAATGACTATATTACTACTGGAAAAAAAGTTGACTTATTTTCAAGTATGTTTCCTGGAGACTAGCAGTAGGTTCTCTCAAATTAAGAGTGAAGACACAAGGCCATGAAGTGCCAACTCTTAGCACCAGAGAGACTTAAAACTTCATAGAATGTGAACGACATTACAAATCAGAGAATTTGCCAATCTAGTTCTGTGGAATTATTGTATTTTTCTCAAATGGGAAATAATCCAGATTTATGCCAAATAGATTTAAAAAGCTCATCTCTTTTTAACTTTTTTCATAATTGCCATTTATAATCCTATATAAAATAAAATTGCTGCCTTTTGATACAATGCTCAAAGTTTCAGAGATGTGAAAAAAACAAAAATGAACCAAAAACATAGTTTATATAAATCAAGGTCCCAGATATGAAAATTAAAAGTAGTCTCTTAGAGAAAGGAATGGTGAAATTCAGTGTGTATTTTCACGAACACACCCCAAAACTGTTTTGTGGACAGCCAATTTTGACTGCCAATTCTAAACTGCCATCCGATTCCTTTAATCAACATTATTAAATCAAGTCCGAGGCAAGACACTGAAAGGACAATACTCAAATAGAAAGATAGTAACTTCCTTCCTTGATAAACCATCTCCAGCTGTCATTCGGAAGCTGAAGTTATTTGATGGCTTCGGAAGTAGTGTCCATTGAGTTTTCCTTTCTGACCTGAAGCGACTCACTGCTGATGGACAATAATTCCCGAAGTTCCTTATTTTCAAGCTGAAAAAAAAAAAGGTGTGTTTATTTCAGGTATTTTGACTGTTTAATTGCATCAGAACACATTGTTTCGGGTCAGGAACAGAAAGCATATTATTTTAATTTTTAAAGTTTTAAGGAAAGAACGGAGAGTTTCCTAAAATACTACTTATTTATTCACTGAACAAACATTTACTGAGCAATTTTTTAAAAAATATATTTTATTGATTTTTTACAGAGAGGAAGGGAGGGGGACAGAGTGCCAGAAACATCGATGAGAGAGAAACATCGATCAGCTGCCTCCTGCACACTCCCCACCGGGGATGCGCCTGCAACCAAGGTACATGCTCTTGACCGGAATCGAACCTAGGACCCTTGCGTCCGCAGGCCGACGCTCTATCCACTGAGCCAAACTGGCCAGGGCCTGAGCAATTTTTATATGCTTTGTTAGGACTACCAAAAAAAAAAAAATACTCTCCACTAGAGGAATTTACTGCTTGTAATACTCTTTTTGGTTCCCCAAGTTTTGCTACTGTATTTTCTATCTTTCAGATTCCTAATAATACTTTCACTTCACTCAATCTTCTCTCCTGTATGTCCTAAAGGAAAGGAGAAGAAACTAATTAGCCACATAACCAGGTACCACGTGGGTGTCTTACATGTATTATCTCACAACCATCTGTAGGGTAGGTACCATTGCCTATACCCATACGCTCTTTAAAATGAGGACAATGTGGCTCACAAAAGTCCATAAACTTGTCCAAACTCAGATAACTTGGATGTGGTACTGCTGAGATCTCCATCTAATGCCCATGTTTTTTCCACTTAAAGTATTAAGTAAAATTTGTCTCATGTTTCCTGAGGGCTCTTTCCATAACTAAGGAGAATGTAGACAAGGTTGATTTATCATTTGAACTAACTCCTAATTCCTTCTTGGAACCTTGTCACTCCCAGATAGGGCCGTTAGCACTCTTCATCCTTATTCTCTCTGCAGGAAATTCTGGTAAGCCATAGTGTTTTCAGGCAAGAATCAGAACCTATGGTCATTAAATCTTCTACCATATCAAATGCTTCCCCTTGTACTTTGTCTCTCTCTCCTGGCATTTATTTACCATGTCATATCTTACTAGAGGACAGGTGCACAGATTTGTGCACCGGTGGGGTTCCTCGGCCTGGCCTGCGCCCTCTCACAATCCAGCCCGGGAGGGACCGCAGGAGGGCTTCAGGGCATGTCCGGCCCATCTCGCCCAATCCCGATAGGCCGGACCCCAGCAGCAAGCTAACCTACCAGTTGGAGCGTCTGCCCCCTGATGGTCAGTGCACATCATAGCAACTGGTCGTGCACATCATAGCAACTGGTCGAGCAGTTGACCGACCGGTCGACCCAATGGTCGGACACTTAGCATATTATATATGCCTAATTATAAGATATATATATATACACATACACACACACACATATATATACATACATATATATATGTATATGTATATATAAGTATATATAATGAATTTACTGCTTGTAATACTCTTTTTGGTTCCCCAAGTCTTGCTACTGTATCTTCTATCTTTCAAATTCCTAATAATACTTTCACATAAGTACAATAAGTCTTCATTTAAAGTTATCAATAGGTACTGCGACTTTAAGCAAAACAATGTATAAAGAAACCAATTTTACCATAGGCTAAATGATATAAACAAGAGTTAAGTTCCTATAATATCTCATCAATGTTGTAATAAAATGACATTGAACAAAATGAAATTATTCAAGGACCTGCTGTACCAGTTTTGTTCCTTTTACTAGACTCTGAGTAGGGATCCTAGCTTTCTTTTTCTCTGTTATTTCTCAAAGGGCTCATGATAGCACCTAGTAATCAGCAGCATTCAAACAATCTATGTTTTTCCTTAACCATTTTTTTTTTCCATGTGGGAGCCAATCTCTGATGTGGGAAAGGCTAGAGAGAGATCTCTTTGTCATCAAGCCTTTCCCAGCTCCTATAGAATATATGTGGCAGAGTCAGGCCCATTTGAATTTCCTTAACCATTTTATGGGCATACTAACACCCCAGGCCTTTCTTTGTAGAGTATTTCAAATTTAATCAAAATATTTTATGAAAATAGCTTTAAAAAAAAATCAAGATTACAAGGCTTATAAACAGTTATCCTTGGCTTTGTTCCCCAAAGGCAACCACTTTTAATACTTTTATCTGTTTCTTTAGTATTTACTTCTATAATCACCCTATATAATAAAAAGCTAATATGCAAATTGACCAAACAGCGGAATGCCCAGTCGCCATGACACACACTGTCCACCAGGGGGCAGATGGTTAACACAGGAGCTGCTCCCTGATGATCAGTGCGGTCCCAGAGGGGGAGCACCACTTGGCCAGAAGCCCTGAGCCAGGCTCACTGCTGGCAAGCACAGCGGCGGTGGTGAGAGCCTCTCCTGCCTCCATAGCAGTGCTAAGGATGTCCAAGCGGGCCTAAGCCATCAGTCGGACATGCCCCAAGGGCTCCCGGACTGTGAGAGGGGGCAGGCTGGGCTGAGGGACCCCAGCCCTTGAGTACACAAATTTTTGCACCGGACCTCTAGTTTTAAATTATATGCCTGTACTGCTATTTCCTTATCATCGACTTTAGACATTAACTATTTGACTTCATTTAATGGCAGATGAGGGATTTTAATTCACAGGTAATCTGTCCTGTCCACACTCTCTGCCCTCTGGATATGATAACATCTCAGTTTCTAGCCAGTACATAATTGGCATTTTCATTGCTTGCTGCTGACTACATTTCCTTTTATGAAAAGGGTATGGAGGAGTTTTAATTTTAAATCATCAGCAGCACAAAGAAAACATCAATACATTGCAGTGACAGGATGGCGATGGCATTCTTCCAGACTCTATGAAAACTTGCTGAAATACTGTGAACCTAAAATAGCAACAATCTTACCTCTAATTGGGCTAGTTTTTCCTGAATCTTACAAAATTGGTCATCATCCACCTGAACTGCTTTCCTCATCACTTCTCCCATTTCACAGATTCTGTCAATCTGACTCTCAATTTCCTGTGAAGATAACACAAAAAAGGTGAAAAAGTCATCTTTTCTACAGATATGAAGTTCATGAGAATATGGCCATTATGATGTTAAAAATTTAATCTATGCTACAGAGATTACACAGCCAATTCACCATAATCTGAGTCCTCAGAGGCAAACCCATAATAAAGTTATCCTGTGGTATTCACAAATAATTTGTTTTCAAAAGATCGATTCTAGGCTAACCACCCGCTGGATGTTGGACAGCATCTCTAAGGGGCTTCTTAACTTAAACTTGAATACTTTTATTGGCAAGAAGGTCAACACATTCAAAGGTACCTTATTCCATCTTTGGACTTACCTTTTTTTATTTTTACTGATTTTTAGAGAGAGAAGAAGGGAGAAGGAGAGAGAAACATCAATGTGAGAGCAAAACATCGGTCGGCTGCCTCCTGCATACTCCCCCGCTGGGGATGGAGCCTGAAACCCTGGCACGTACTCTGACTGGGAATCAAACCAGCAACCTTTTGGTGCATGTGACCTCACCCAACCGAGCCACACCAGCCAGTGCTGTTCGTATCTTTTAACAAGTTTTTCATATGAACTAAAATCTGTTTCCTTCAAGGTTCAAATTTTCTCCTGTAGTCTAAAGAAAATAAAATTTATCTTTCTCTTCCATACGAAAGCCATTCACATATTTAAAGCATCGCTGTTCCCTAAGACTTTTCTTAAGTCAGTAAAATGCTTTCAGTGGAATCTAGGATGAAACTTTTCCTAAATTTCACTGCAGCAAATTGTGAGGCACTAATCTATTAATCCATGATTAAATGATACAGTACATGTGAATGTACAAGGACAACCATAAAGCACTCTACAGACATAAGAACAATTACTGGGTCTCTCAAGTTCAATCATAATCAACCAAAGTGTAGAAACGATGCCTTGTATATGTATTTTTAAACCATACTTTTCTCTCCTAATGAGCATGATGTTATGTGGTTCAGTTTAATAAAAGTTTCCTGACAGTCCGCTATGTGCCAGGTACTATGTTAGGGATAAAAGATGAATTTATGCTTCTTATAACCAAGAAGCTTACAAGTTAGTAAAATGTACAATCATAACCAATCAGGTATTTACTGGGCCTCTTTGACACTAACTAGCATTATGTTTTTTGGAAGAGATAAGCATTCATTAGCATCTTGGAAAGATATTGGTGAGGGAGAAAGGATCCTTAGTCCTATTCAAATGAAAGGAACTGAGGGCCCCTTATCCCTCTTTTTATTCAAATCTTTACAAAGCTACAGCAGAACCAACAGTGAATGTGATAAACACTAAAGGAAAAAAAGCTTACTCTTCTTCAAAAACAGGCACACAAGGTAACACAATTTCAAGATTTCAATTCAGTTCATTTAGAATTTATCAAACTTTCTTACTGCAGAGTGAGTTTGGTGAGCTTTCAGGACTGGTTCAGCATCCACTGCTTTTTTAGCAACCATTAATTGTAGCATCTGTTTCCGGTATTTGCTCATGATGAGTTCCAAAGCATCCTGGTGTTCCTCCAAGGAAACCCACAGTTCTGTCAAAAAATAAAATAACTTGGCAGTGATGTCTGAGAGAGAGCTTTCAAAGGCAAACGCTTAACAGTTGGGATTTTATGACACTCCATGAGATATTGTGATTCCAAATTTGTAAATCATTGTTTAAGTCCACAAAATACAACAGTTAAGGTCAATGTGAAACATAACTTTCTAGGCAGAGGCAGCATAGTTTGGTAGAAACATGGGATTTGGAATCAGAAGGCATGGGTTTGAGTTCAGTTCTCTGAGTTATTAGCTTAATACTCTTAAGCAAATCATTTAACCTCTCTGAGCCTATTTCTTATCTGGCTCATATACCTCAATATGAAAATATAAGAATACAATGGGATGATATATGTGGAAGCCCTCTGTCAACTGACATACAAATAACTATTCATACTTCTATCACTAATAATGTACTTATCAAGCCCAAGAATATACATCCTGAGTATAAGACTCAGCTCTTCCACTTCGTACAAGAACATTAAAAAACTCTTCAATCTTTTTTAAAACTCTTCAATCTTAACTGTAGTACATTTGAATATTTAAACTTTACATTTTAATCCCTTGAGGATATAAACTCGAATTCACCTCTACTAAGCACTCTTTGATAAGCTGCCTATAAATACAGACAACCTTGAAAAGGGTAATGTAACCAACTTTATTTTACTGGACCGGATACTTAGCACAGGATACTTCTGTTACTAAAAGTACTGATTTGGAAATACAATGCATTTTAGTAAACGGTTGGGCAATTTTGCGAGAACTTTCGCATTATTATTACTGGGAATGAGAAAGTCACAATAACTACACAAAAAGGCCTGACTAACCTCTGTTTTCCTGCTGCAAGTCTCTAATCTGCGTGTTCTCTTGGGACAGCAGAATGTGAGGTTTGTATTTGGACATGTCCTTTATATCGGATGCATCCTCTTGATACTGGACAAACAGAGACAGACTAAGCACAGGTGCGACCGAAGAGGCAGGAGGCAGGGCTCCAGGGCAGCGATATCAGCCCCGATCCCGCAGAAAGGTCTCACCGCCGCACCCCCTCCACCCCCACCCCGGACCAGGAATACATTCCAGGCCGAGGTTCCACTTGACTTCACCCTCCACCGGTCAAGAGCCCAGAACCTGAGGGCACGGAGCCCTCCTCTCTGCCTGACCTGGTCCGGAAGCGCCGTCCCCGCCTCCCGCATAGCGGCCACCCGCCGGTGCAGCGCCGCCGACTGATCCAGCAGCGACTCCGCGGCCGCATCGTGCTCCCGCAGCCTCTCCAGCAGCGTCTTGGCGTCGGTCAGGATCTTCTCGATGGTGCAGCTCATAGCGACTGCAGGACCACAGCCCAGCGCTGCTCGCCTAAGCCAGTCGCTCAGGTCCTGAACCTGTCCCAGCGTCAGAGACGTCACTTCCGGTATGCTTAAAAGGCATCGGGGCGCCGCCGCATGCGCCTGCGCAGTAGCTGCCAAGTCCGTGGGTGACCTGCCTGCTTTCACCAGAGGCTTCCCCGCAGCCCCGCCCTGCACCGAGCTGGAGGCCTGCCCTTGCCACGCCCTTGGTTTCCTGTTCCCACGGCCTGGTGGGCAAGTTTGGATTTGCGGGGCAGGTGGAGTTTCTTTACTGTTTTGTTTTGTTTTGTTTTTTAGGGCATGTTTATTACAGCTGGGGACAGCGAAACAAGGAAGGGCTTAGGGTAGAAGAAGCAACAGGGAAGAGCCTAGCTGGCGGTTTGGGCTCTAGAAATGTGGTAGGAAAGAAATGGGCCTAGGTGGGGCTGCTTTGGCTCCCTGAGAAGTCAGAGAAAAGGGGGCCTGGAGCCAGGTTCAGGGGGTTAGCCCCAGCCGAGCTGCCGCTGCCCACTGCTTCCCTGGTTGTAAGTCGCTGGGGACCCTTAGAGTTTAGATGCCCTTCTTTGTTTCAGGAACTGTTCAGTGTCTGGGAATTCAGCATTATCTTTGCTTCCAAACCTGCTCCTCCTGTTTTAGTAAAGAGCACATTCATACACCCACTTGCCCAAAACAGAATCCTGAAAGTCATCCTTTATTCTTCCTACTAAGTCTTTACACTTAATCAGTTACCAAAGCAACCCATCTCTTTTGTATCTTTAGAACGTATTTCCTTTTTTGTATTTTACTGCTAGGGCCATCATTCTTTCTCACCAGTTTCCAACTGGTCTTCTCCCTACTCAAGTCATCTCCTCCTAGTAGCTCTCCCTCAAGGTTACCACAACCCCTTGCCCTTTTAATGGCAAGTAATTATTTCTGTGCCCCACCATTAGGACTGAGAATTAGACTGGTCATGCTAATTCCACAATGAACTGACAAACAATTACTCTTGCTTGCTTGTGTAAAACCTCCATTTTATTTGAAGTTTGTTTCATCTAGCTGAAGATTCTTCTCTCCCTCCTAATTACTTACCTCCTATCTTGGGTATTCTCCTTTATTCACAGAAGATTCAC